TGAGTCGTGGGTGTGTAAGAGGCAGTTCAAAAAAAGGAGCACGAGGGGGTGAGTCACTAAGAAGAACCTGTCGCTCTTAATGCACAAATGGGTCATCGACAAGAGAGACCGCTTACTTGGGAAGGATTTCCATAAATCCCTAAGATAGGGCTGGAAAGGGGCCTCACACTGAGGTGCCAGGGGCTTAAAGCAGAAATACACGCTTTCGTGAGAAAGAAGAAAAAAAAGGTTGTTTCCTGTGATTCCTTGCCAGCTAGGAAATTGTAACACCTGCTTTTGTCTATCCCCCTGAACTGGGGGCAGTTGTTACTAGGACCAGAGGGAGTTGTTAGTGACCTGCATTTGACATATGTGACTTGGACCGCAGACAGAGAAAGGAGTTTCTAAATCCATACATCTGCTCTTCCAACCTTTGCTACCGGAGGTGAAAATGGCACACCTCAAAGGAGGGGGGGGGGGGGGCACTGAAAAAGGTGGAAAGGTGGTCATGGTCTACCTTCTGAAGAATAACCCAGAAAGACAGACGGCTTCCCTATCAGTATGTGTGTTCCGGTCCAAAAACCTTAAACAGGTGGTTTAGATGAATTAAAGGCATCTTGCAACTATCCAGTTGGGGGCATCTGAGTGAGGTATCTCTCGAGGTGGGCAGTTTTACATTCGCAAATAAAAACAATGGGGGGTGGGGGGGTGGGGGGGATTAGGAGGACGGGGTGACATGAACATCTAGATATTTGCAAACTGTCACTTTGAAAAAAAGAGAGGCAGCTTTAAGAAGCTTATGTTATTATAATGTATAAACAAGATAAGGCAGGGAAGTTGAATTGCGGTATTTGGTCTAGAGGGACGTCTTTCACGCTCAGCTCCGCTCACACTGGCCTTCTCCAAACATGAAAGAAAAACCTTCAAAAAGTAGCAAGTTATAGATATTACACTTAGAATAGATATTTATACCTTATTAATCTACTCAAGCCTATGCTGGTGAACCAAAAATGCCCACTCTATCGATGTTTCTTGGATAGCAGAAGATGTTTTCTGAAATGTAATTTATTATACATGTGAGCAAAGCTGAGCAATGGTTGTTTTGGCCATGTTTCCCTCCACAACAGCTACCCATCTGCTTTCCACCTCCAGCACAGAAACTCCCCCTGAGGGCATGTGTTCTGACCCTTGACCCTGCCACATCAGGTTGGCCGCTTGGTCAGTTTTTTTACTTCCCAACACACCCGGGGGTCCCCTCCCCCATTATGAGAGTATCCATCCTTCTGTCTGTCTGTACAAGTTCATCTATATATTATTTGCTTTCTTTTTACTACTCTTGCATCAGATTTCCTTTAACAACCATTCCGTCAGATTTTCCAATTTATAAAAACTGAGACTGAAATAATAATTTTCGATAAATAAATGCGGCTCTATTTTCTCTTGATGCATTTATTTTACTCTGTAGAGTTAAATTAACATATAAAGCGTAATTCAAATTATATATTATTCATTTTATGGCATAATAACCATAATATATTTAAAGGTAATGCGTACACTCTTTGAATGTATCAATTAAATGTCGCTGGTGACGGGATCATAAAACATCTTTTTAAAAATGCAAATGACACAAGAAATTAGTTGCTCACAATTATTAGGATATGAGTGATGCAATTGGTGTGAATGGACAGAGACAGGGAATGCATTGTTCCAAGGTTATTTTTCTCATTAAACCCAATTTAGCAGACGTACTTGTTGTGTCCCCGTGATTAATCGAGAATGTGCACAAAATTATCATCCGCAGCATTCGTCACATGAACCGACTTCCTCAAAACAGGCTGATGCACTAAAAATCCAGGCTTTCCAAAACATAGAGCGGTGGTGTTTATCTCTTTAAGAACTGCACACTCCACCACGTTACTTTGATTGACAATTGAGAATTGTCACTCTCCTGTAGCCCGACTTCTCGTTCTTCATTCCAATCTCAACACAGCAACCCATTCCATTGGTTGGCGCCCGCGTAGCTCAACGTAATCGACGTATTCAACTACACAGCAGTAACTCTATTGGTCAACCCTGTTCACCGCGTCATTTACCCACGTGGAGCGATTGCTTCCATTGGCTGTTCTCAGTTTTCGGGGCGGATCTTCGCATGGTTAGCTCTGAGAGTGTGAAACCGCGTGTGAAAGTGACCAGTGGAGGAGAGTAGGGTAAAGAGCGGTGTTGCTATTCCTATTATAGAGATTATTATTATCACCAATACTACTGTTTTTTCATTGCATGATTTTATTGGTATGATATTTTGTTGGACACGTACCGCTGAGTACTTTTTGGTCGCATAGGGTGTTTTATACATGTCAAACATTGCCCCGAGCTGATCGTTAATTGGGGGCACAGTCGCAATTAACTTTTGATGATTCAATTGCGTGCGATTCTGGATGGGTTTTGGACTTCTGTCGGAGTAGTTTTTGTTTGTTTTGGTCGTGCGCTCCTTCGCTAGGCTTCTTTTGCTGGATATTGCTATCCGGAGCCAACATCATCACATTGACAGAAAATACATTTCAGTGGAGTTTTCTCTTTTTTATATTTCTCTGTTTTTGGTTGTTCGTCTGGTGATTTATTTTTTTTCCCCGTCGTTTGATTGTATTTCTGTCTCTCCGGTGGAATACCAAAAGCAATCGAGAAATAGCTCGCAGTTGGATCCGAGTTAGGTAATTACAGAGCAGCGGCGGTGGAAGCGCCTGTTTTTGTTCTGGGGAGACACCGAGCACAGGAGAACGACGGGGGGTCGGCCATCGGTGCTTCTTTTGCGGCCCCTTTTCATCGGGGACGGTCCAGGATGAATTTATCCTAATCTCGAGCTTTCCTTTCGGCGATTCCGAGTTCTTCCTGAAACAAGCTTAAAACGTAAACAAGCGAGACTTTAAGATTCCCGAAGGAGCTTCAACGATGTTTCCCCAAAGCAGGCACCCGGTGAGTCAATCGATATCCGGATAAAGAACAACTTTTCTCTTTTATAGTTTAACGACGGTGTGTTGCGTGGGTTGTTAGTTATGCCGACCGATGCATTGGGAGTACATGCCGCTTTGCCCGCGACACCGTACCGCATGGTCGGCTCCGCGCGATCGCCGCCGTCCTTTGATCGGCGCTACTTAGTAGCTCCCTTGTTTCAAGCATCCCCTTTGTTTCTCATTAGATGACCTAAAGTAACACGGCCAGTCGTGCTGTAGCGCCCCTCCGCATGCACTATTGTCGGAGGCCACATCCCAGAAGAGTTGCACTACAGTTTGCCCGATGCTTTTATGACTGTTGTTAATAATCATTATGTCAGATCTGGCTTTTGGGGTTCTGGGGGAGGGGAGGGGGAAACGTGTCCCCGATGTCACATCTGCGTTTCACGGCTTATTCAAAAACACACGTTTTTTAGTATAAGAAAGGGACGTTGTTTCGGATTTAAAAAATAACCTCCTTCTTTTACAGACCCCGCATCAGGCTCCTGGGCAACCGTTTAAGTTCACAATCCCGGAGTCCTTGGATCGGATAAAGGAGGAATTTCAGTTTCTACAGGCCCAGTATCACAGGTTTGTGCGACATCTGATTAACATGAGAAGAGCTGAAAGTTCCCCCCTCCCATGTAGGCTCTTTGTGTCCAGTCTGCGGTAGGTAAAGCTGCGGTATGGCTTCCGAGCCAGACGGTGGCGTCTAAATCACTTTAAATAATCTCAGTCCCCCTCCCGTCCAAATATGCCATGCTACTGTCTGTGCGCGCTGTGTAAATATACTCTATACTACAGCATTTTTTAATTGACCTTTAATTAGGGATGATTTTAAACATGGTTTGTGCCGATAACTTTTAAAAAGATGACATGTCCCATCCTTTCGTAATTAGAAAGATAATACAGTGAATATCTGCGAATCATAGTAGTAAAGTATGTATTCCGTTGCGTGTTTAAGGATTTTGGTTTCTGACTGGGATCTTACTTAAGACGCTTGTGGGGATGTAACATGAATTTGTATAAACCCGTATTTGACCTCGCGAGCTGCTGTATGGCACTGAATGCTTCCCTGTTAGAGACAGCTGCTCAAAATGTCATGTTGTGATTGTTACTTGAGAGGCCCTCCCCCACACAAAATGCTCAGAGACGGACACCACATGTAGTGGTGGGCCTCAAGTCGCTATGGCTGTAAATTAAGTATTAAAGCATTGGGTTTACAAAAATTGGCTGCATGCTATGGAGGGGGTGCATTTTACAAGATAACTTGGTTGGGCGTTGCAGCTGTCTTCCGAGGACGTCCGTATTTCATTTAATGGCTTCTGGCAGGGATGGGTGTGGGATAGTTGATGGGGAGAGGATTGTGAATATTCCTTCTTGTGTGACGGTCTTGTGGGGCTTGGAATCTGCACAGAGGTTTCTGCCCGATGTTGTCTTTTGGTGGTGACCTTTTTCGTTATTTATTTTTTTTTTTAAAAAGTTCGCTATCTGTGCATTTTGTTTGCAGCCTGAAGCTGGAGTGTGAAAAACTGGCCAGCGAGAAGACGGAGATGCAGAGACACTACGTCATGGTGAGTTTGCGGCCTCCTGCCAGAGTCCACGACAAGCCCCGGTCAGCGCTTTGTCCCACAGACTGGCAGCGAAGTGGGCGGTGCGTGTGCCCAGACCGATGTGTTTTACGAATAAACTGATGCTATTGTCTTTTTTTTTTTTTGCAGTACTATGAAATGTCTTACGGGCTGAACATTGAAATGCACAAACAGGTAGGTGATGCATTATTTTGTTACCCTCCCCTGCCAATTCTCTGCTCTTGATTTGAAACTGGAGTACAGCTGGCTGGGGGGGATGGTGGGCCGGTTGGGGATAGCGTTAAACCTGTGTGGCAAATCCTTTGGCGTAATGAGAAAAGCAGGAGACTTTCTGAGCTGGTTTTTATAGAAGGACTCTTCTGAAGTTGATGGGGAAAACATTTGTGTATGGGTCAAGCCTGGGTGACACTCCTGAATCGGTGGGCGGGGCTTTGTGGGCCTGGCTCATCATGGGGGGGGCGCCAGCATAACTCACAAAGCCTTGAATGCTGTGACATATGAGTGATGTCTTGGGACAGTTGACTGAATGTCTTTTGTGTTGGGGTGACGGAGCGGTTGTTCAACATCCACATTCTACGTTACAGTGGTCATCGTTTGGAGAGGAGATGTTTGTGGTTGGGGGGGGTGAGGGATGCTTGTTTATGTGCTCGCTAGCGCGCTCTATAACATCAGAGTCTTGGCAACGCCGTGGCCATTAGGAGCTGATTGGTGCTTTATCGGCAGATCATCGTTAGTTGACAGCGTGGCGGTTCAGCCGTGGAATGAAATTCTCACTTGATGAATTTGTGCTGCCTTGGCGACCTCCCACCCCCCCTGTTTGATTTCATTACCGTGCCTGCCTGGCCCGGCCCGGTCAGCCAGTGTGCCGTGGGGGGGGGGGGTGGCAAGTGGAATTGATTAGTGGAGTCCACTGTTCTTGTTCTCTCCCCTCTGCCATGTTTGGAGCCATTTATTAAGCTTGTTTGCTGGGAATGTCACCGAGTCCTGCTTTGTGTGTGTGTGTGTGTGTGTGTGTGTGTGTGTGTGTGGCAACTTATTTTACTTCGAAGGTTCCGAGGCATCTCATCTCCGCCCGCACGGAACCTTCTGGAGGATTAGCAGGGCTGTGGGGCCGACCGAATTAATTTTCTCGTAATTGCTTCTAAAGCAGAGAGGGAAACAGGCACGGCAGAGTGAGGCAAATTCCGGCGAGATCCTGTAGGGTTTGGCTGGGGGGGGGTGGTTGGAATGGCTGGGCCTGTGCTTACGGGAGGGGCGGGGCGCGTCACGCTTGCGGGGAAAGACCTCGGTGGGAGGCGGGACGGGCCGGGCTGTTTCGGGTGAGTCCCGGGCAGCCGCAGACGAGCGGTAACCTCAGGGCGTTGGCAGTACCGTTGTTGTTTTGGCCTTTCTGGTGCCATCTGTCGTGGCAGAACACACGCCCCGGTGGCCCGTCGGAGGTGTGGGCGCGTCCAATGAGGCTGGGAGGTGTGGTAAAAATAACTGCCGTTATAATCGCTGCAATAATGCATTCATGGCGCCTGGTTAGGTGTCTGCTGGGGACTCTTTGGGGGCTCGGTGGGTCTGACATCCAGGCATCAGTGTTTCGGTGGCAGGGAAGGGGGCGGCGAGGCCGGCTTCCTCCCTGCAAGCCAGCCAGCCCTAAGTGCTCATTATGTTGTAGAGAGGAGCCAGGACGGCTCCCATTACTTCTGACAGCACTTCTCTCCAGAGGCAAGCAGGCCGGGAACGCGCCCCCCCCCCCCTCGTCCCTCCCCCGCTGGCCCTCAGATCGTTTCTCTTTTATTGCTTTTAAGCAAATGCTGGCGCTCATTGTGAGGGAAATGTCATCCTGACAATGTCTCTGTCGGCGGGGGGGGGGGGGGGGGCGAGCGGTCGTCCGGCGGCGGCGGCCCCGTCACCGGGGCCCACTCCGTGCGGGGCCTCGCGGGGGCCCCCCGCTGCTGCCCTTTCTTCTCCCCCCTTTCAGGAAGGCTTTAATTCAGCCCCCCATTTGCTTATTCAGGCCCCTGTCATACTCTGCGAGCAGACTCAGATATTTTCTATCTCCTGGTTCGTGGCCTGGATGGGGGGAGGGGGTGCATGTTTTTTTTTTAGTTAAAGAACACCCCCCTTTCCCTCTGGATTGGTCCTGGAGGTACAAAAACCCATGGAATTACAAATTGGCTATGATTTGCTGGTATAAACCGTGGTGTGTGTGTGTGTCTGTGTGTGTGTGTGTGTGTTGCTTTAATTTCATTAGTTAAAATTTCGCCAATCTCACTCAATCACCATGCCGGTTTTGTGCTTTGAAAAGCGGTACGCTTCACTTCACTTGTAAGAGCTGTTTACTCAGCCATCCCACATGCCCCCCACCCCTCCTTTACAAAAAAACAGCACAAAGTGGCTGTTCCAGCCTCTGACTGTTTGTTCTTTATTGGGGGGTTTTGGCTTTGAGACAGGATTTCCCATGGGGAGGGGTGGAGGTGGCTAACACCGTAAGGAGAGCCCCGGTGGGGAGTGGTCACGGGTCATCGGGCCGCCCCAACCCCACTCCCCTTCTCATTCGACCCCCCCCCCCCTTTTTTTTCCCCCTGTACTACAATGCACCAATTCATCCATTGTGTGGAGGAGAAAGAAGAGGCAGGTTTGCAGAGGCTCCAATGATTCTCAGATGATTTAACTAAAACAAAAAAAGTCTTAAATAGTTTCCGCTGTCCCTGGTTGCCCTGGGGGCCTTGGGGCTACGGATGGTGGTCCTCCACATGTGGTCGTCCAGGCGGCCATGTTTGGTGCTCCTTCAAGGATTTGGAGAGACAAAAGCAGTTTATTTGGTAAACAAATTCTCTACTGTCCTAGAGCAAGATGGGGATCTACAAATTAGGGTTATCTGCTGGGTTGTGTTGGATTCTTCAGCAGAAGGTGTTGGAGGACTAGCTCAGTTGGTCTGTTAATAGACACCTGCAGAGCCAGTCTCCACCATGAATCTTCCACCAGCACTGTAAAGTCATATAAGCCATATGACCTTAAAAGACGGCCCCTGTGCTCAGGAGGAACCCTGCAAGTGCAAACAAAACTGACCAGGGCTCTAGTGTCAAAGATCATTGAATAAATGGTGTTTTTTTGGGGGGGGCTGGCTGCAGTTGGAAAAAGTCACACGGTATTGATGTTGGCATCTGGCCTGTTGGCTGCTTTCACCCAAACAGATGCTCTAAGATGTCACTGATGCACAAGCATAAACCTTCACATTTGTCTTTGGCTGCATGCTCTCAATATTACACGTAAAGTGGGTTATAATCATTAATAAAGCTTTGATTGGAAAGAAATGCCATTTCCTCTCTGTGATGGACCAGCTTCAACAGGATGTAAAAGTAAAATCATCATTCATTGCAGTTTTCCATTGAATCCGTTGTTGGGACATTATAACTAGATCGACATTGTCGTCAGAGCGTAGCTGTCAGTACATTGGGTTTGACCCTCCATATTGGCTCTCAGTAGGACCGTTGGCTGCACTGTTTTGTTCCGATGACACTGGGCCCCATGAAATCATACAATCCAGTCCTCCTTTGGGGTCCAGTTCCTGTATGCTGGAATTTGCTTCTACACCTGCTTGATGAGATTAAAAACACATAAAGATTGAATAGAAATGGTCAACAGCTGGACGTGCTCATAACATGATGTCTCAATGGTCTTTGGGGTCAGATGTGCTGTGTAAGTGAATACACTATTGCTGGTATACTAATACGTCGTCGATGCCTTTGTTGCATAGCGTGCATTACTTCTGCATTCAAATGCTCTGGCAGAGAAATGTAAATAATGCTATGCAAAGGTGAGAAACTTTATATTTTAAGTACTTCTGCCACAGAAAGCCTAAAATTCAAAACTTGCTGCCCGCAAATACATGGGTCTTTAGTTTTTGCAGTTGCAAAAACAATATGTAGCAGACAATTGTCCAGAGCAGTGCACAAATGAGGCAAATTGCGCACACAGCTACAACGTTTATATGACAGGGTGGGGTCTGAGTTTACTGCGCTGCTGATGGATAGCGGTATATGTTACCGCGTTCTACTCGCAGGGAGCACCATCCCATTGCACGTTTCCGGTATACGCCGATGGCACCTTGTACTTTCCTCACGGGCTCCTGTCACGGCCGCTAAGCTCTGGCAAATCGAAACACGTTCCCACGGCGTTAATGTCACCGACATCGCCGTATGGGCTGCACTCCGCCACCCGTGAAACACGCATCTTTTTGGCAGGGTTTCTTCCTGGGGCATTAGAGTTTGGCCTCATTGCTGATTTGCCAGCGGGTTTAGGGACCCCTGGTTTGGTTACCTGTCCCGGTTTAGTGTGTGGGTTTGTCAGCTTGGAGGTGACGAGCTGCTTTTAGTTCTACTGAATTCTTTCAAGCATCACATTCTTCCTAATTTTCTTTTATTGACTCATCTAGAGAGATGTGCAGCTTTCTAGACTCCTGTTTATACAGGCCGGTTAAAAAGTCTGATGTGTTCATGTGAGCTCCGTGTTTGTGCTCTGGAACTCATGCTTCCCATTTCATTACATTTTTTTTCCTACTAGCAAAACACTGTTCTGGAGGGAAATTTTAGTACTCGAATATAACATGGCCAGTGTTTTGTTCTTTAATAAGCATACTCGAATAATGAGTTCAACTGTACATCAGCTTTAGAAACAAGCTGTATTCTATTTAATGATCCTTTTTGTTCACGGCAGCAGTCTTCCACTGGAAAAGTGCAGCTTCTGATTTCAGTGAAACGGTTCAGGGTTGGGTTTTAATCTAGGATGTAAAAGCCCTAACGTACCCAGCGTATGCCGACCCGCACGGCCGCTTAGCTGGTCTCGACTCGCTGGGAAGGTTGCGGGAAGCGACGGATGTGTGGTGATGTTTTTCCGTCTGGAGAATAGTTCATGAGGTAGATTTTATGAGTGTTGAACCATAGGCAGCCATGTGCTGTACCACAGAATCAGAGTTTTTGCTGCAGAAGCCTTTAGCTGCACTTGGTTGGTTACAGTCTGTGGGGTTTTTCCGAACTAGACTCCTACAAGGGATTAGATTCGGGGGGGGGGGGGTGTGACACCGTTCTTACTGGAGAACTTGGGTGCTGGTTACAGGTGTTGTCGTTGACCCGGTTGATTCTGTTTAAATGTAGCATTGGCGTAATCGCCATCCCCCGACCAGGGTTGGGGTTGGGTGCGGGGTATTGGACCATCCTCCTCTGCTTGGCCATGTGTGATGTGTATTTTGCCCTCCGTGGGGTGGCTGGCAGCCCCTTACTTTGCCTGTCCAGTTAAGGCGAATTGCAGCCTCCAAGTGCTGCCTAATTATTCCCTGCTTCTGTGGAAGGTTCTGGATAAACCTTATATTTTCCTCTGCCTGTGACAATCCTGTTAAGGCTGCATCTTGGAACTGCCCCCCCCATGTGGTTCCTGTCCCTAGACATGTTCTGTGAGCACTGCAGTCTTGTCACCTACTAATGCTGTCTACAAAACACCACCCTCCATTGTTCCCTTTCTGGTACAAACATTTTGTCTTATTTACCATTTTTGTTTATACTTTTGAATTGTTTTGTTTGCAATGATTTCTAACGACCAAACAGCCCCTAATCTTGCTGGTCCGCCTTTCTCCTGTGTTTAATTTGCCGAATGCTAATTGGCTTGTTTTCAGTGCAGATGAACGAGGGCACAAATGGAAAGCAAAATAATTTAAAGAACTTTACCTGTGGGAACCCTTGCAGCACGCCTGAGTTGAAGAGACTTAATGGGGCTAAATACTGGTTTGAATTGTATTCGAAAGCTAATGGAACATCAATGATATCCCATGATCCCCCGGGAGACTGAAATCTGACTCATGACCCCAGCTCATCTGTTTTTTTTTTTTGTCATCGCCCCCCACCGAATATGGCTGGGAAACCGAGATGGATGCGGCTACTTCCAGACCGCTATTACTCAGGAGGCTGGGAAATTTGATTGGCTGTTGCAATTTGAGCAGAATCATTCGATTTGAGAGCAACACAAAGATAAGATATCCAATTATCCCGACAATTTGCGGGGTTGGCTCCCGTTGCTATGGAGACGCCTGTTGGAACAAATGAAATTTTAAGCAATGAAATAATCTTAAAGTGCGCATGGGAATCAGCGAATTTGTCGCTGGCACTTGGCTAAATTGAATATAAGCTTGACATGCGATTGTATGACATTGATGCACTGCCGGTGTATTAGGTTTTCATGGCCCTGGAGTGCCTCAGAGAGCGTGAGCGTGGGGACCCCGATGTGGAATGTTCCGGAAACGACACGGAGGCATACCTAAATCGCGGTGGTGTGGTTTGGGTGGAGGGGCGTGATTTTAATAGCTCTCCAAAAGATACTGGCAGGTCAAATTTTGGTGGTGTGTGTGTGGTGGGGGGGGGGGGGGGGGGGGGGGGGTGCGAGGCCATCAGTGCTTTACGGGCTGGTGGTAGACGCTGGGGGGTGTGCATACAATCCACTCCAGGCACATGCGGCAGCAGGTCGTCTCTCTTCCCAGCAGCCTGTAGGTAGAACCACGGCCAGAGGTGTTCAGTGTTTTTACCCCCTGCCTGCCATCTTGGACTAAATCGTTAAGGTGCTCCTGGGTTCCTTATTTGTCATTATCCTTGACCTTCTGGTGTTAGCTTGATGGTACCTGGTGCTACTGAGGGCGGGTGTCTAACCCCCCTACCAAGTCATTCCTACGTTTTTGGTTCTGCAAATGGTCTTGAGTACCTCCGACATTTGCGGGGCCATGATGCCCGTTTGAGAAGGCTGCTGAATGTCCTCTGCCAGCCATTACCCCAGGGTGCATGGATTCACAGAGCCGCCTAGCGTAGGCTAACACCTGGCACGGCGTGGTACACAGGCTCCCCCAGTCGCCTTACCCTGCAGTATAGATTACGCCTGGCTGTACCCGGCATCAGCTTTGATGCTGTCCGGTAGACTGGGCCACGGGAGGAATGGAGAACAACCTGGGGGGGGGGTGCGTAGTAGGGAAAATCAGTGTTTCATCAAAGATGCGCGGAGGGGGTTGGTGCAATGGCTGAAAAACAGCGGTGGTGCATGGCTGTGGCATGAGACATCGGGACCGCTTAATTACCCAGGGCTAACCTGTTTACTGCTTAATTACCCAGGGCTAACCTGTTTACCTAACCGCCTGAGAAGCATGCTGCAGCCGTGCGCGAAGCCCTGAGAGGAAGGGCGGGGGGGCGTCGGTTGGCAAATCAAAAGGCCGTCATTGTGGCTAGATGGGTGGGGGGGGGTGTGAATGGGCCGGCTTTGTCACTCTTTGATGGTTCCTCCTCCCCCCCATAGAAATGGATGGGGGTGCTCAAGAGGGCTTGCTTTGCAAGCATAAACAATTAAAAGGCACTTGAGGTGCAGTGCTGGGAAAGATGCCCCCCCCTCACCCCCTTCCGGGTACTCTTATACAGGGAGCTAAAGGGACTCAGAACTGCTGCTTCCTCAAGCTGCTTATGGCTGTTAAAGCCTAAATACTTCCTTGTGTGTTCATCCCTAGTGTGGGTTTTGTACTTTGGGGGGGGGGGGTGCATGCGTGTCATATTCAAATCAGCCATCAAGTATTTCTTCGTAGATTATAATTTTCTGGACTTCATGCCTGTAAGAACCCGCTGAGTTCCACTGCATGCCCCGGGTCTGCGTGTGAGCATGTGCGTCTCTGTCCACCTGTCTCTGCATGCCAGCAGTCTGATGATGGGATTAACTTGGCATATCGCCCCTATTTCCTCGTCAGACTTGTTTGCGCGTGTGGTTTTAGGCTGAGCCTCTGTTTATCTCTCATAACCTAAGCTCAAACCACATTGGTTTGGTGTGATCCTGACTAATATCAGGATCTGGCTGTCTTTGAGAAACGCTCGAAGCATATTAGGTAATATGAGTAAGTTGTGGTGTTTTTCTTTCTCTCTAAGTTACTTATTTTATTTTAATCAGTCTGTATTAATGTGTCCGTCTCTCTCCCCCTCTTTCCCCCCTAACAGACGGAGATTGCCAAAAGGCTAAACACAATCTGTGCACAAGTCATCCCCTTCCTCTCTCAGGAGGTAAGTCGCCTTGGCTTGTGTTGGTGTCCCGTTGTGGGCGTGGCTTCTGTGCCATGTGACTGACCCGCTCCCTCTGTTTGTCTGTGTTTGGCCAGCACCAGCAGCAGGTGGCTCAGGCCGTGGAGCGCGCCAAACAGGTGACCATGGCCGAGCTCAATGCCATCATCGGGGTACGTGGACTTCCTGGTCTGCCTCCTACAGTGTGTATACCATTTCTGTTACCCTCTTTTTTGTGGGCTGGGGAGGGGAACGTTTTTACGTAAAGTACCAGTCCTAATTATGGGAATATAAACCAGGTGTCCAGTAACTGAATCATCAGGCTAATTCACTGAGTAATAAGTTAACCAAGTGGACACATGGGTAATTACTGCTGTGATTCGCCATGTATGGTAGACCTGGCAGGATCTCTGTGTAGTCCTGCGGCTTTCTGAGAGTGATTGTAATCTTAAGTCATTCGTCAGGTACAGGTATGGAATATCAACATCTTAAGTGCCTAATTCACTCAACTGAAAACTGAGGTCTTGTGTTTGGATATTTTCTGCCATCCAATTGGTCCTGCCAAGGTCACATGACCCTTTAATTAGAATGGGTGTGCCCAGAATAGCAGTATGTCTGGGGTCACATGCTTGGATGGCTCTGAGAGTTTGTGGTTAAAGGGAATGGACATTTTTTCTCTTCTTTTTTTTAATGACACCTTTACACATAATACTTATGTAAAGCTCCCCACAAACTGTCCTACTGCAGATAAAAGACTACCTAAAAGATCTTAAAATATTTTAATCCTTTGCCTAAATGAAGTTTTGGGGAAAAAAACAGTGATGAGAGATGGGAACTCCTCTGCTGTGTTTCTCTTCTGAAGGCCCGTGTGCAGCCACATCAGAATGATGATCTGAGAGTGCGATGTCTCTCACAGCCCGCCCCGTGCCGCGGGTGTTTACATTATTTCGTGGCGCATTCTGAAAAGCCAGGCTTGTGTGTAGGAATTTAAACGAGCCGTCACGCTGAGATTGGTGCAGGTCCCCTGGCTCTTTGAAGAGGTGTGGGCTTCGTCTCTCCCTTAATTTCAGCTTTTATTTGAGCTGACAGTTGCTACGCTTTGGCGTCCACGTTTATCGGAATTAGCGCCTCGCACAGCTAGCTGCTCTTCCCTTGTACATCGACAAGAACCCCCCCCCCCCCGCCCCCCCACCGGCGCCCGCCTGCCCCCCCCCCCCCCGCC